ATTACTGCGTCCATGTTTCCATCAACAACGTTTAAAGTAGAGCTGCCCCAGACTGAGAATCTTCCTAGTGGACCAACAGTCCTCATCAGGGTCCATCAGTGGACCAACAGTCCTCATCAGGGTCCATCAGTGGACCAACAGTCCTCATCAGGGTCCATCAGTGGACTAGTCTCCTGCATGTTTCTGATATGAATGTAATGATGAAATGATATATTTTGGTGGTTTGAGTTGAAGGTGTGAGAAAGAATAGTATCAGTAACATTGTTAACACTGTGCTACATTACAGAGAAATACAAACCGTACTAATGAACCTTCATTAATATAGGCCTATATTTTATCTCCAAGTGCACGTCACACACTGAGCGAGCCGCCTGTTAATGACGCTGTGGGCTAATGGGCATGTAGCTACTTCCATGTTTCATATGATACGTCATGTTTGTAGTCGACCAATGAAGATGAGTTTACATATCACCTTGGGTTCGTCCTTCACCTTCTCAAAATGATCCCACACTTTGGATTTCCTGCCCGACATGTTATTAACTAGCCTGTGGAATAACCGCAGGTACCAGCCCTGGAAATTAACCTGACTCCTGTCTGACTGCTGAAAGAATGAGATCGTGGATACATGCAGTGGAAATGAGTTTCCTCCGTTGGGTGTCTGGGCTCAGCCTTAGAGATAGGGGGAGGAGCTCGGACATCCGGAGGGAGCTCGGAGTAGAGCCGCTGCTCCTTCGCGTCGAAAGGGGTCAGTTGAGGTGGTTCGCACATCTGATCAGGATCCTCCTGGGCGCCTCCTGCTGGAGGTGTTCCGGGCATGTCCCACTGGTAGGAGGCCCCGGGGCAGACCCAGAACACACTGGAGGGATTACATCTCTCATCTGGTCTGGGAACGCCTTGGGGTCCTCCAGGAGGGGCTGGAAAGTGTTGCTGGGGAGAGGGACGTCTGGGGTGCTTTGCTTGGCCTGCTGCCACCGCGACCCAGCCCCAGATAAGCAGATGAAAATAGGTGGATGGGTGGATTCTCAGGCTGCCAGGACTGCAGCGTAGATGTGGAAGACTCAAAACACAGACCAATAAGAGCAGACTGGGCTTTTCGTCAGGGGGGTCTTAAAAACCACAGGCAGGAAGTGCATCACAACCTGGTATCCCTGAGATTAACATTCATGGTGTTTGATTCTGTGCCCTACAGTTTAGACGATGACACCACCTTACAGTGTCGATTCAGGCAAAAACATAATCACGAGTCTTTACATTACTGTTACATTATCATCTGAATGGGGTAATTACAGCCTCATTTGGATGAGTCCTCGGGTTCAGTGGAGGCTAGATGGCTGTGTTTGACCCTGACACTGCTGTAATGACTGAGACAATGACAGTTTGAAGAGGAGTGAGCATCATCTCCACAGAGTTGCAGGGTTGTGTGTTTGTGTGTGTGTTGCGTGTATAAGTGTCTGTGTGCAGACTGCATGTATGTCCTGAACGCTGAGCTGTTCACAAACAATGGCCTTTGCTAAATGACCTAGATAACAGAGGCAATCTGCTCTCCCCATCGTGCGGGGAGTCACTGATGGTCCAAAGCCGTGCATTCGTCGCTCATGGGCACTCGGGCAGACGCTGTCTCACTGACACAGAAAATCAAAGCAATCAGACCATCAGCTAGAATCAGAGCCTTTCTGGAAATGTTTGTGTGTTGTGCTCAAAGGATAAATCCACAGTGAATCACGCAGGGTAGAAATGTGCTGCTGCACTGCTCTCTGTGGATTCAAACATTCAGGCATGTTGGACTGTTGACCAAAGGGTGATGGATCAGTTAGATGGAATGCTGGAAAGGATGATTTCTTCTTGCTTTTATTCTTGTGAGCACATCCACGCTGCATTGTACAAAAATCAAAGAACACAGTGCTTTAAATGTTATCCAGCAGATTCTTCCAGCCACACTCAAATCTGATATCTGTGAGGGGAGACAGTCACCCCCTCAAATGAATTCTGGGAAGTGTCCCTGTCGCTCTGACACTATCTGTGATCTATAACTGGGCCTTACATAAGACAATCTAGCGAGAAATTAAATGGGAAGTAAAATGTGATCATCTTATTAGACATCAGAGAGATTAGATGCAAGGTCACACACACTAAGGCCTGCAGTGGAACAGAACAGAGCGGCTCAGATATTATATAACGACCACTTTGACACGAGGTGGTTCAAGGCAGAGGAGGCTTCAGTTAAAGCATCCAGCTCAGTCTCACTGACCTCAGAGCAGCAGTGCTGGTGAATGTCTGTGAAGGCTTAATCCAAATCACTGCACTGAAGTCTTACTTGAAGGAATTTAGCTGTTCAGCTGAAAGGTTTCTTCACTTCACTCCACCACTATGGCTGATAACACTGGTGACGACTCTATATTACGAACTACACAGCCGGCTGTATGGGATTGAATTCTTAGATCTAGACAGAGAAGATGGCATTTAGCGAGCTCTAATTATCAAATGTTGGCATGCCTAAAGGGTAACTTTGGTATTTTTCAACCTGGACGCTGTTTTCCCACATGTTTGAGTCTAAAGCCCCTTTTTCTTAAATTAATTATTGAGCTATGACCTAAAACATGTTTTGTGAGGTCACAGCAACGTTGACCTTTGACCAACATTTCTAATCTGTTCATTTTTGAGTCCAAGTGGACATTTGTGTCAAATTTGAGGAAACTCCCTCAAGGCTTATTGAGATATTGTGTTCATGAGAATTACATGGATGCAAGGTCACAGTGACCTTTGACCACTATAATCTAATCAGTACATACAGAACTTCCTACTGTAGATGAAGTTTGAGGTTTGCTTTCTACCCAGTAAACTAGGGGTGTAACGGTACACAAAAATCTCGGTTCGGTACGTACCTCGGTACACAAGTCACGGTTCGTTTTTTTTTCGGTACAGTAATGAAAAAAATAGACAACTATTAAATATCTTTTACTTATTGGTAACCTTATTAAAACATACCACCACAGCAGTTAACTCTTTTTACACAATTTTTGAATGAAACAAATATATATAAAATCCTGCTTTTTCACATTGTTTGAATGAAAATAGAAATATAAAAGTGAAAAATAAAATCCTGCTGTTTTTTTAACACATTTTTTGAATGAAAAATATAAATATAAATGTCTGCTTAAACAGTTTTACTCAATTAAAATAAAAAGTATAGTGCAGCTGGTCAGCTTTAAAGCCTGCTCAGATTCAGTTTTACTAGGAACTTACTTAGCTTTCCCACTTTGTTAAAGTGCAGTAAACAAAACATGCTTATATCTGAAGTGCAGCTTAAACAATTTTACTCAACTCCAGTGGTGTTGGTTATTTCTTTAGCGCGATGGTCAGGGAAACGCTCTTTCTTTTTAAATGACGACGATATCGTAGTTTGCACCAGATTGCTTTTTCTAGTCGTGCCGGTTAACGTTCAAACTCGGGTGGTGTCGCTTTAGATGCGTTAGCATGTTAGACGTGTTTCCAAGTACATACCCGACCGCTGTTCTGCAGTGTCGGCACACTGCTTTTGTCTTGTCCACTTGTTTATTTCCATCTTCGTATTTTACCCTGAAACCAAAGTGTTCCCAAACGGAGGACTTAAGGTTTGCAGATGGGTCTTCAGGTTCGTCAGGCTCACTTGCCATATTGTCAAAATGCGAGAATGCGCTGCACAAAGTGAAGGCGGAGATTTATGGTTGGACTCGGTTCGTCACTCAATTATGTCCGTCGGGGAACTAGATATTTTAAATGGTTCGGCTCGCACAAATGGAATTAAAATAAAACAAAATAAAATAAAATAATATCCTGCGCCCAATAATTCGGTACAGGGTCGTGCTGAACTGAAAGTCGCGTACCGAACGGTTCGACACAAATACATGTACTGTTACGGCCCTACAGTAAACACATACAGCCAGTTACGCACTGACTCCATCGACTCCCACTTGGATTTTAGCACGTTTTGGTATCACCTCTCACTGAAAATAAAGTGAAAACTAAATAGTAACATAGATGTCCTGGGATTCTACCCTCTTCCTCTGACTGAATAACTGTATCTGTAGCTGGTGGGTCAACAGCTGAACGAGCTGCTTTTAAACTGATGTTGCAGTATTCTGTGTGCATAAGCACTTTGGGCTGAATATGATTAGCATAAGTATATCACTTGCACTCTCAAACTTATGGAAAAAAGCATTTGGGAGAGAGAACTGGGATTGCACAGTGCTAACTTGGTCTGACTTCCTGTATAATCTGTCTTGGCAGCCATGCAATAAGTAGAAAATAGAATTACTTCAACATGGGATCATTTTATTCATCCCTCACACCATTATCTGGGAGGCATTCAGCACCTATATAACCCTCACACACGCCTGCAATACTGTGATTTTGCTCCGTTTCTCATGCCTCTAATCTTTTTTATACATTTCCAGTTAGCTTCACCCCAAAGACATTGTTCGTCATTTTCTGAAATATGCTTATTCTCTTTTTCTGAAAGTGAGATGTTCAGACTGATATCACTCTCATATCTAAATATGGAGCTAGCCCCAGGAGGCGATTAGTTTCGCTTTGCATAAAGACTGGAGGCGGGTATATCAGCTAGCCTGGCTCTTAGGTCTCAGTTTAATAGATTGAACCACAACCTATATCAGTCATGTTTACATGGCACTTACCAAAGTAATTGGCCAACTGCTCACAAGCAATCAGACGATCAGAAAGAAACAAGTTTATCCAAATCTAAACTGCTTTATTTGGATTTTTAAACTGAAAGTGAGCTCAAGTTCATTATTACTAGGACTCCCTCACTTGACAGGAAAACTGTGTGAGCACAGCTACAGTGAGTACAGATGAAAGATGAGACAGAAAGTGGGTTTGATCGTATAACTGCCTGAGTTTCTTGATGTCACCATGCTCCCAGATTTCAGTAGTTTACCATGAATAAATGTATTTGGAATCTGACAAACAGTGAAAGTAGTAAATGCAGGAGCAGAGTGACTCACAGCCAGGTAGAGTGCGGCGTAGACACTGAGTGCGGCCTCCTTGGATGGGAAGGTCTTGCGGGCGCGCAGTATGTCGTCCTGGTTTCCTGTGCAGGCCTCCTGGTGGCTGATGTAGCGCAGGGCCTGCTGGCAGCCCAGTGCCGTGTAGTTGGGCTTACAGACCGTCAGGAAATAGGGTGCCAGGTTCCCTGTCACTACCTGGCCTGCATTGACAAAGATGTCGACGGTGAAGAGGCCAAAGGTGTAAACTCCTGGGAGGAAAAAAGAAGATGTTAAGAGGGACACATGAGACAGACAGAGCTACCATCAGCAGCAACGTTTGTGATATCAAGACTGAAAAGGTGGAGCTTGTTCAAAATACTAAGCTGTGTGGGCTGTCTCTCCACCTGCCTTCTTAGCTACTGTTATCATGAACCTCATCAGCTTAATAGGAGGAGGCTGTATTATAATCTCTGACTCGACAATTATTATTACTCCTGGCTCACAGAATTCATTTTGGAGGAATGAAACATCTTGAAGCTTAACCTTTGACCTTCAACCACCAAATTCTAATCAGTTTATTCTTCAGTCCAAGTGGACATATGTGTCAAATTTTTAAAAAAAAATCCATTAAGGTTCTTGAGATATCATATTTACAAGAATCAGACAGATGCAAGGTCACAGTGACCTTGACCTTTGACCACCAAAATCTAATCAGTTCATCCTCGAGTCAGTGTGAATGTTTGTGCCAAATTTGAAGAAATTCCCTCACGGTATGCTTGAGGTATTGCATTCACAAAATGAGACAGACAAGGTCACGATGACCTTGACCTGTGACCACAATAATCTAATCAGTTAATTCGTGGCACCTCGTATCGTAGCCTCGGCTACCAGTGTATTAATGGGTGAATGTGACTCATACTGTAAAAAGCGCTTGGAGTAGTTGGATGATGCTATATAGTAGGTGCAGTCCACTTGCAGCACACCATTCAGGTTACTGCCACCTGGTTTCTGCCTCCTGCACCGTAGAGGGAATAGCTAGCTAAATAATACCAAAAATAAAATTTCGGCTCTGACAGGATAATCAAACTTTGAGGATGATGTTGCTCCAAGGCTGTTTTATGAATTGATCTTTTTCTTTACTGCACATGAAAACACGTCTAACTGAGTGAATTCATACACCAGTAAAATCAGCTCATAAATTGTTTTGCTGGCATGCTTTGTTTGGTTGCCATGGTCACACTGTGAGTCATAATCAACTCAGACAGTGGTGTCAAATAGCTGTGCGTGTCCATGAGAGCGGCAGCCATCGTCTCCCTCCTTGCTGCTGCCTCTGATGTCGGCGCCACACCTGCCGTCACGTTTGTTAGGAACACTGAAGGCTGATGTAAAAAATACTCAGAGTCGGACATACCTTCATAGAGACTGTATGTCTGTACACAACAGAGCCTCTACATGTGACCAAGAGGAGTAGGTGGAATATTCACAACACACCCACATCAGGATCACTGTGCCGTTATCAGCCATTACTGCCTGTGTGTCCCTGTGTCATTTTATTTTTATTAATCTCATTTTGCAAAGTTATAATGCTCATAGGGAAGATTTTCTTTACCCACAAAATGATCAGCTTAGCTCTTATTACCAGGTCGTCAAATACCAACGCTTTGTCACACCCCTTGTGATGTGATGTCAACACCGAAGACGTGCTTTAGCGTGTTTGTGAGACTCATCAGGCTTTCAGATAACTCCAGTGGAAACCGATCTGCAGCAAAACTTTAATCTGAGAGAAACTGATGCAGCATAAAGAGCTAGAGCTCTGCACAGGGTGTGACGGAGGGGAGGGGTCAGACAACACTGCACTTTCACCCAAGAGCAGCGCTGCAGTCAAGACCACCTAAACTGAGACCATGTCAAGACCAAGACCAGAATGTATCGAGACCAAGTCAAGACCAAGACCAGAATGTATCCAGACTGAGTCAAGACCAAGATCAGAATGTATCCAGACTAAGTCAAGACCAAGACCAGAATGTATCGAGACCATGTCAAGACCAAGACCAGAATGTATCGAGACCAAGTCAAGACCAAGACCAGAATGTATCGAGACCAAGTCAAGGCCAAGACCAGAATGTATGTGGACCAAGTCAAGACCAAGACCAGAATGTGTTGAGACTAACTCAAGACCAAGATCAGAATGTATCGAGACCAAGTCAAGACCAAGACCAGAATGTATGTGGACCAAGTCAAGACCAAGATCAGAATGTATCGAGACCAAGTCAAGACCAAGACCAGAATGTATGTGGACCAAGTCAAGACCAAGATCAGAATGTTTCGAGACCAAGTCAAGACCAAGATCAGAATGTTTCGAGACCAAGTCAAGACCAAGACCAGAATGTATGTGGACCAAGTCAAGACCAAGACCAGAATGTATTGAGACTAGCTCAAGACCAAGACCAGAATATATGTGGACCAAGTCAAGACCAGAATATATCGAGACCAAGACCAGAATGTGTTGAGACTAACTCAAGACAAAAGATCAGAATGTATGTAGACCAAGTCAAGACTAAGATCAGAATGTATGTGGACCAAGTCAAGACCAGAATGTATGTGGACCAAGTCAAGACCAAGACCAGAATGTATCGAGACTAGGTCAAGACCAAGACCAGAATGTATGTGGACCAAGTCAAGACCAAGTCCAGAATGTGTTGAGACTTACTCAAGACCAAGATCAGAATGTTTCGAGACCAAGTCAAGACCAAGACCAGAATGTATGTGGACCAAGTCAAGACCAAGACCAGAATGTATTGAGACTAGCTCAAGACCAAGACCAGAATATATGTGGACCAAGTCAAGACCAGAATATATCGAGACCAAGACCAGAATGTGTTGAGACTAACTCAAGACAAAAGATCAGAATGTATGTAGACCAAGTCAAGACTAAGATCAGAATGTATGTGGACCAAGTCAAGACCAGAATGTATGTGGACCAAGTCAAGACCAAGACCAGAATGTATCGAGACTAGGTCAAGACCAAGACCAGAATGTATGTGGACCAAGTCAAGACCAAGTCCAGAATGTGTTGAGACTTACTCAAGACCAAGATCAGAATGTATCGAGACCAAGTCAAGACCAAGACCAGAATGTATGTGGACCAAGTCAAGACCAAGACCAGAATGTATCGAGACTAGGTCAAGACCAAGACCAGAATATATGTGGACCAAGTCAAGACCAAGACCAGAATGTGTTGAGACTAAGTCAAGACAAAAGATCAGAATGTATCGAGACCAAGTCAAGACTAAGACCAGAATGTATGTGGACCAAGTCAAGACCAGAATGTATGTGGACCAAGTCAAGACTAAGATCAGAATGTATGTGGACCAAGTCAAGACTAAGACCAGAATGTATGTGGACCAAGTCAAGACCAGAATGTATGTAGACCAAGTCAAGACCAAGACCAGAATGTATGTGGACCAAGTCAAGACCAAGACCAGAATGTATCGAGACTAGGTCAAGACCAAGACCAGAATATATGTGGACCAAGTCAAGACCAAGACCAGAATGTGTTGAGACTAAGTCAAGACAAAAGATCAGAATGTATCGAGACCAAGTCAAGACTAAGACCAGAATGTATGTGGACCAAGTCAAGACCAGAATGTATGTGGACCAAGTCAAGACTAATATCAGAATGTATGTGGACCAAGTCAAGACTAAGACCAGAATGTATGTGGACCAAGTCAAGACCAGAATGTATGTGGACCAAGTCAAGACCAAGACCAGAATGTATGTGGACCAAGTCAAGACCAAGACCAGAATGTATTGAGACTAGCTCAAGACCAAGACCAGAATATATGTGGACCAAGTCAAGACTAGAATGTATGTGGACCAAGTCAAGACCAGAATGTATCGAGACCAAGTCAAGACTAAGACCAGAATGTATGTGGACCAAGTCAAGACTAAGACCAGAATGTATGTGGACCAAGTCAATAATAAGTGTTCGTCTTTGATGAACTGGGAGTGAGAACAGATTAAAATGACGGACAGCACATGAAATGGCCCATTCTGTATCAGAAGCCTACGAGCCGGTCTCTGTTCTGTCCGTGGTCTCTCCTCTCCAGTCTTCTAAAAAAGACACATCGTGTTGAGACACTGGCAGAGTGCTTTGTAAAACATCAAGGACGGGACATAAATCATTCAACCGACTCGTATTTTCAGTGTGGATGATTCCCTTTAACACCAGAGGAAGGCCGTTCGTCCCACAGCAGAGACCTGCTGCTCCTCACACTGTGACGCTGCATAAAACAGGTCCGCTGTCTACAGGGACACCTCAATCCCCTGCTCCTCACACACACTAACACACACACACACACACTAACACACACACTAACACACACACACACACACACACACACTGTGCAACAGTCGCCCAGGTGCCATATACTGCTCTTAACCAAACCAGCCAGGCTTTACGTCTCTGTGATTGAAGGGCTTTAACAGAAATAATTGCTTCCCTCCTACGAGAGCCCGGCCCTCTGTCACACTAAATTACCAAACAGGCGCTTAGTCAGACAACTCTCTCTCTCTCCCTCTCACACACACACACACATACACACACAGAGGGGTGTTCATCACACCAAACACACACACATACTTTTCCAGGTTGCATTATTTGCTGGGGCAACAATAGCAGCTTTTCCAATCACTGTCAAGTGTTTGTGCTGCTGCAAACTAATTTAAGCCCGGCTTTGAAGCTCATTTAGCTGGAAGACATTCATGAAAACGGGCAACGAGGCGTCACGGCTGTTGAGCAAGGCACGTCTTTCGCCCTCCTCGCACAAGTTCTTGTTTTAAATGTCGCGGTCTAAGTCATTGCCTTTCCTTTCTCATTCCTCATCAGCCACACAGAGGAGCGGTGTGAGGCTCCACATGCTGACAGGTCCATTTCTTAACAAGCATCAAATAGGTTTTGTCAAGCGCTGTGTGACTCATTCGCCGAGCGCTCGCCGCACAGTGCATGGTTCCAACGCTGTCCCACTTTCTCTGACACGAACGTGGAAATGTGGGCACTCTGTGTTTTACAGACAACTTACACTCGCTGGCTAACCCCCCTCTCCCTCATCGTGTCGGGCTTTGGGAACGCAGAGAGGGACGGCCAAAATTGCTTATTAGAGCATGAATCTAATTCAGTTTCCCTGCTTCAAACAATGCCATGATCTGCTGCAGAGCCACTTCGTAGCCATGCATGTGTATGTGCGCTGTTGTCTAAGTACGCAAGCTT